TATTATGTTCATTGATTATATATATAATTTATCTTACTTGTTATTATTAATCAATGTATCAATTAGTGCAATGTCACATAATCTAATCGGATCTCAATATATTCCAATTTAATGCAAAACTTTTAAATTTTTTTATAAATTATATTTATACTATTCTTTACATATTATGTATAATTATATATATAATTATACAGAAACAGAAATAAAATGCATTAAATTATATATTATATATATTATATATATATAATATATAATTTAATGCATTTTATGTTTTCTGTTTCTGTTATTATTAATATTGATTTCTTTCTATTCAATCTCTGAAGAGAATCTCTAAAAAGAAAAATATTAAAAGATTCTATAAAAATAATTTCGATTAATAAGCTAAAAATATTTTAAGAATATAAATATTCTTTCAAGAATTTAAACACAACGGATGTAGTTTTACGAGCTGTCATCGAAGAGGTCTACAGTAAACGCTTGCACTCATTTGCAAGACAGAAAGACGGAAATGAGTATTGGCGGAGCTGAAGAATCGAGCACAAAGCTCGGCAAAGTGGCACTTAACGCCTTGTAAAATTAGAGAAGGAGCGCAGGAAGAAAGGTACAGTATCGCTTTGGCGATGAAAAGTGTTTAAACGCGCTTTGCTTTGGTAGTTGATCTCTTCTGTTAAGTCGAGAGGTAAAATTTCTCGTTTGAAATGACAAATTTGACAAGCACTTTCTGAGAATTAATCACAATGTAAAATAGATAGATGTGGCACAGTTAAAATTTCTAATTCCAAGAATTAGAAATAACGTTTGATAGAATTAACGATTATATTTATATATTGAGATAATATTAGGCTACGGTGAATTAAGGTTTTAGACATACGTTATCCGATACATCGTCCCCGGAAAAGGACGACTGAACTATAAATTCCAGTTGTGTACCAAGGAGTGGCAATCGGCCAGACGAGTTTCACCCTACAAGTAGTCACTGACAAATTGGGACAGACCACGTCGAAAATGCGAGGCACGCGCCAGGTCGGCGCTGTAGAATGCAAAAAATAATTTTATCCAAACCTTTAATGTGATGAACAATAACAACGAACGGAATGAACGTTACATCCGTGGTTTTCTTATAAAATATACATCTATATAAATAAATCTCACAGAATTTCACTCAAAAGTTTCTAATCTAAAGAATTTTAAATTCCAATTGCGGTGTACAATCGCTCATCCTTTCTATGCAAAGCTTATTGTTAAAAGATAACAATTTTATATCTCTGACAAGAAAAGGACTTCTAATCGCTTCCCGAAATTTTCGTTGTGTCCAATTCAAAGAGCAGGATGCAATTTTCATTTTCGTAAAAAATTCCCGCTACATTGTGCGCCCGTCGACGAAGAAAAACGTTCGAGTTCCACGATAGCCGCCATGTGCGTGGCTTCTGGTCGCGCGGAACACAGAACACCGCAGTTCCGACCGTGAATACTCAGACAGCCTTAAATCTCGTCTCGCTGCTCGCTGCGCGAAGCGGAGCGACGCGGCCGCCGAGTCGTCGTTGTCGAGATCTTTTTGCGCGGCGGAGGCGTCGATGCGCGTCCCGCTCGACTCGTTACGCACGTGTGAACGGAAATGTCGACGCTTAAACGCTCGCGGCAGGCCGACTTTTAATTGCCTGCCGTTAGTTATGTGGACCGGTGAAGCAGCGGGAAGAGAAAGGGGAGGAGAAGGATAAGGATACAATATGTAGGCGCGCTCTTTTGAGAGTGCTTTCTCTCTCCTTACTTTTTTTTTCCTGCCGCCAATCGTATCTGACGGACAATTTGTCGTAGCATGCATCTTCCGCTTGATCCCTTTGGAGCTGGAATTCTTTTTCACTCTCTGCCGACTTTCCTGTCTTAAAATCACGATATTTGGTTATTTCATTTTAAATTAAAAAATAAAATTCAAATGAGATATATAAAAGCTTGATTTCTCATATAAACTTGTCTAATATATTCCTTAATTATATATGATTTTATTTATTAAACGATAATTATTTACGCAAATTTAATTAATTATTTACCCTCAATATTGTACAAAGGAATGGAATAAAATCAAAGGATATTTTGGAGAATATTCCACAAAAAAAAAAAAAAAGAAAAGCTCTCGATAATTGTCTACTAATTTTCACGCTATATCGCTGAAAATTCCCTGAAAGCTGGAAGCTTTTTATGAATGACCAGCTTTGTTGCTGATCATTCCAGCGTAGGTCGGCGACGGTTAGCCAATTATTAAGCACCAAAGAGTGTTCCGCGCGTGCGTTTCTAAACATA